GCGGGCGGAGCGGCGCGTCCCGGCCTCGGGCCGCGGTACCGGGCCGTGGGGCGCGCCGAGGAGTGGCCCGGCAAGAAGAAGCACCGTCGGCGGCCGTCGAAGAAGAAGCGGCGCTGGAAGCCGTACTCGAAGCTGAGCTGGGAGGAGAAGCAGCAGTTCGACGAGCGGCAGAGCCTCCGCGCCTCCCGGCTGCGGGCAGAGATGTTCGCCAAGGGGCAGCCCGTGGCCCCCTACAACACCACGCAGTTCCTCATGGAGGACCACGACCAGGAGGAGCCTGACCTGAAGACCGGGCTGTACCCGCGGCGAGCGGCCGCCAAGTCGGACGACACGAGCGAGGAGGATTTCCTGGAGGAGGCGGCGGACGAGGATGGGGGCAGCGACGGGATGGGGGGAGACGGCAGCGAGTTTCTGCAGAGGGACTTCTCGGAGACGTACGAGCGGTACCATGTGGAGAGTCTGCAGAACATGAGCAAGCAGGAGCTGGTGAAGGAGTACCTGGAGCTGGAGAAGTGCCTGTCGCGCATGGAGGAGGAGAACAACCGGCTGAGGATGGAGAGCAAAAAAGCCGGAGGGGAGGCGGCGGACCCGGCGCGGGTGCAGGCGCTGGAGCGGGAGGTGGACAGGCTGCGAGCCGAGAACCTGCGGCTGCTGCGGGAGCAGGAGCTGCCCCGGCAGGAGAAGGGCCCCTGCAAGCCGGGGGAGTGACACTGGGCACGGGGGGCGCGGGGGGGTTTTTACAGTCCCGGGTGGAACACACACGGTCCTTGTACAGAGTCGCCGCGGACCCTTTTTATGGGGCTGAAGCGCTGGGGGGGGGAGGCGAGGGCTCCCCCTTTTTTAGGTGGCTGTGACGGGGCGAGGGGGGGGTTGATGTATTGGTGATATCTGGTTTATGGGTTTATTTTATTTTTTTTGTGTCTAAACCAAAAAAAATGGAAAAAAATTCCCCAGGAAAGCTGTAAATTGGCCAAAACTGACTATAAAAAAATATAGAGGTCTAATAAATTTAATTACTTGTAACTGTAATGGTTTCAGTGTGATTCCTAGAAAATAATCAGGATGGCATTCCAGCAGGGAATACATCCTGAATTATTTTCATTATGTTATAATTGTTGTTTGATTAAAATTAGTTGTAATTCCCCACTTAACCCTTTTCTGTTATTATTCCCCCCCCTTTATTTTCAATTTGAATGCTGTTGAAATAGTTAAAAATACTTGGAAAGGGGTGAAACGGTGTGATGGACACTCACTGAGGTAGGAGAAACCTGAGGTCTGTCTGTTTGCCTAAAGGTTCACTTAAACTTGACTCTGTTTCCTCCCAGGTCTGTAGGAATCCAGGTCATCAACTGAAATCTGGGCAAAAATTGCCTAAAAAAATATAAATCTACTTAAAGCTACAAGTGAGGGAAAACTCTTAAAGTGTTGGAGCAGCCCAAGGAAAAGTTTTGGTAGTCAGCACTTGGCCCCTGAAATGGCTGACAGGGAGAGGGGAAGGCCATGGCTCAACCTCCCTCCTGCACCTGAGGGGGGGAGGAGGAGGGAAAAGCAGGAAAAGCTCCAAGTAGTGAAGGTTTTTT